TTCCAGCGCCTGGGCGAGCTGGCCGGCCCCGAGGACGCCCTGGCCCGCCACGTCGAGGGCAACCGCCAGCGCGCCCGGGACCTGGTGGCCGAGCGCACCCGGCTGGAGCGCCAGGGCGCAGAGGCGCAGCGCGCGCTCGACGAGTTCCGGAGCAAGTAAGCGGCGGCCGACCGTGGGGGGAAACCGAGGCAGGGCGTGGCTGGCCCAGGACGCGCGGGTCTGGGAGCACGCCGCCCCCCAGGGGTGGAGGGCTGTCTCTGGTCCCACTGCGACCGATGATCTAATCTCTGCAGAGGGTGGGCAGGTGGCACATTTCCTTAAGAAAAGGCTAGCTTGCATTCTAATAGCACTTCATGGTTTACACGAAATGGTATCTTTTGCTTTTCAGGTATTTTTAAATTTAGGTGTAACTTACATGTCCCCAAATGCATAGATTTTAAATGCATAGTTCAATGAGTTTTGACAAATCTATATACCTGTGTAACCACCAACACAAGCAACGATTATTTCCACTACCCCAGAAAGTTCCCTCCTCTCCTTTCCCAGTCAATCCCCTTCTCCCCAAACCAGAGGCACCCAGTGTTCTGATTTCTATCACCATAGATCAATTTTGCCTGTTCTAGAATTTCACAAAAATAGAATCTGAGAGTATGTACTCTTATATGCCTAGCTCTTTTGCTTAGCACAATGTTTTTGAGATTATGAATGTTATTTAATCCTCACAGCTTTATCTTTACTGCAGCTATTTTACAGATGAGGAGACTGAGGCTCAGAAAATGTAGGAATTGAGGTAATGTCACTCAGCTAGTGAATTGTTGCAGGGACTGGAATTCAAGTTTTGGGCATGCTAAGTCTGATTGTCTTAGCATGACATCACCGCTGACACCTGGGAATTATGTTTCAATGTGTGTCCTCTGGTGTCTTGCCACTCAAAGTGCAGTCCATGGACCAGCAGCATCTACATCACCCAGGAGGTTGCTAGAAGTGTAGACTCTTGGGCCCACCCCAGAGCTCATGAATCAGAATCTGCCTTTTAGCAAGATCCCTGGGTGATTCGTAGTTTAAACAGTTAAACACTGAAGTTTAAGAAACCGCATGGTCTCTCCTCCCCACAGATGGAATTGTGTGTTAAAATCACCTAGGAACTGTTAAAAAGAAAAAAAGATGCTCAGCAATCTATCAACATCTTTTCCAAGTTACAAATGTGTGTTCTTTGCCTCAGGAGGCCACTTCAAGGAATTTATTCTGGGATACACTCCAGCAGGGATGAAATGGCATGCCTGCAAGGATATTCACAGAAGCGCAATCTGCGATAGCAAAAGCCTGGAACCAACCTAAATGCCCATGAATAGGACACAGGTCATAAAATTGTGCTTCATCCATGTAGCGGAATACTGTGCATGGTAAACAAAACAAAAGAAAACAGAAGAGAATATGTTATTATTGTTTCCTTCTGAAAAAGAGGGGAAGAGTAGAGATTTTTTGTTGCTTGCATAAGGAAAAAGATTTCTGGATGGACACACACACACACACACACACACACACACACACACACACGTTACCTGTGGTGGATAAGGGAGTAGGAACTGGGCAAATGATAGAATGAGAAGGAAACTTTTAATGGAATATCTTATTTAAAATTAAAAAAAAATTGCTTAACTATGTAAGAGATTTATCCATTTAAAAATTACGTAAATTAATTAAAAAAAATACAGATGTCACGGCCCAACCCTGGACCTCAAGTGGGGCCCAAGAACATTAATTTTTAACAAGCTTCACAGGTAATTCCAGTGAACAGCCAAGTTTAGGAAGCCCTGTTATAAGGTAGCCAGAAAGATTTCTCTGAACCTGCCCCATGTTTGAATTCTACTTTCTCAATCTGAATCTTAGGCAGTTTATTCAACACTGTGTACCGAACATACTTATCAAATCATATTCATTAGTTCAGTTCTCATCAGCCCTTCTGTTTCTGGTTTTGATCCATAGAAACCAGTTTGGAACTGGTGCCTTCTTCCATTCCAGTATGAGGAATGTTCTCTACCTAGGTAGTTGAATAATTTCAAAATCAGGTCCTTAGCACATCAAAGACTAAATAAAACAAAAACTAAATAAAAACAAATAAAACTACCAAAATACAATGATGAATAGAGTCAATTGTCCAGACTGCTGAAAACCAAACTAATTTGTGTAAAACAGTTACTGAAGCTAAAGTGTTTTATTCATTTTATGAATTCACTTATAGGAATATATATGAATATATGAATTCTTACCATGAATTCTTTATAATGAAATCACTTCTCTTTAATATGATATCTAGATTTGTCTTTACAACATGAAAATTACCCATGATATCACATTAATACGTTGATTATCAAACATGTTTTTAAGCTACAGAAACTGTTAGATGTTTCCAGCAGGAAAGAGCAATGAGAAAATTAGATTTTGTTAAGTTTTATTCTCAAAGCTGATTATCCATTTGGAAAATAATTTGTCTCCATTAGAACTGCACACAAAAGAAACTGCTAAATGTGACATCCTGGTGTGAAACGTAAAACTCGTGCAAAGATGTTTAGCTTACTGGTTACAGCTGAATTCAGATGGATTTAGAACCGGGCGTGTGTGCACAGTGCACATATTCCTAATTGTTCTTCCCTAAGTTCAGGATTTTTAATTCTGAAAACACAGTGACATGGTTTTCCAGCACTTTTTATGGCTATGTCGTACTTGACTTGAACCCATGCCATGGGCATGGAAGGGCACAGAAAGCTGTGCTTTGTGGGTTGGAATCAGTGTTAATTAGGATTGGTTTCAACCTCAAATGACAGAAACTCCAAAGTGACATTGGCCCATCTTACACCTATTAGGATGACTACTATAAAATCAACAACAACAAAACAAAATAACAAATGTTTGCAAGGATGTGGAGAAATTGGAACCTGTGTGCACTGTCGATGAGGATGTAATGTGGTTCAGTTGCTGTGGAAAAACAGTCTGGTGGTTCCTCAAAAAATTAAACATGGAATTACCATATGATGTAGCAATTCCACTTTTGGGTATACACACAAAAAAATTGAAAGCAGGGTCTTGATGAGATATTTGTACACTCATGTTCATAGCAGCATTACTCACAATAGCTAATGTGGAAGCAAACCAAGTGTCCTTTGTAAGTGAAATGTGGTGTATACATACAATGTAATATCACTTAGTCTTAAAAAGGAAGGGAATTCTGACCCGTTACGACATGGATGAAACTTGAGGATATTAAGCTAAGTCAAATAAGCCAGTCACAAAAAGACAATTACAGTATGATTTCACTTATATGAGGTATTTAGAGTAGACAAAATCATAGAAACAGACAGTAGGATGGTGGTTGCTGGGAGAAGAGAATAGGGAGTTAATGTTTAATGGGGACAGAGTTTCAGTTTCGCAAGATGGAAAGAGTTCTGGAGATGGATGGAGGGGGTGTTTGCACAACATTATGAATGTAATTAATACACTGAACTACAGTTTATGTGTATTTTATCACCAGCAAAAAAAAAAAAAAAAAGTGACATTGGCTTGGCTTACCCGAGATGGAAGTTTCTCTCTCTTTTGTGTAAGGTCTGGGTGAGCAGTTTATTATGACACTCTACAGTTTTTGAGACCCAGAGGGCTCTGCGTGGCCTTCCAGAAGGCAGCATCTGTGCTGCAGGCTGCAGGATGGAGGAAGGGATGCAGGTGAAGAGATAAAGGCACACCTACACTGTCGCTTACCAAAGCTGTCAGGAAGCTGCCGCACACACTTCTGCTTCCATTCCATTGGTCGGGACTTAGTCACATGGCCACACCTAGCCGCAAGGAAGGCTGGGAAATGTAGTGTCTCGTCTAGGCAGCGCTGTGCCCACCAAAATCAAGAACTCTACCTTCTGGAAGAAGAGAATGGATATTGGGGGTGGCCTGCAGGGAATGAGGTGAGGGGTCCTGTAGGCAAGGGCCTGCTCTCTTTCTTCAGGGGTGAAATTCCCAGAGGAAAACCCTCACTCTTACGAGAATGATTTCTGGGGCTTCTCTGCTTCCTTGGTCCCTATCATTTTCTAGAAGGGAGGAAATTAACTAGGAGAAAAAAAAATACACCTGCTCATAGTTTCTGTTGCTTTATTAATCTTGTGAATGTTTAAATTGGGGGGTTTCCCTGCTCTAACCAGGCAGTGTGATGTGGTCGTCAGAGCAGTTTTTGGTGTCAGACTCAAGTCTGAGTCCTGACTCCATCCCTCTCTTAGTTTGGAGTCCTCCAGAATCCATGCCTGAGACAGGGATTGAGGGCAAGTAGCTTACGTGGGAGGTGACCTCAGGGAACAGCAGCAGGGTGTGGGGAAGTGAGGCAGGAAGGGAAGGCGGCCAATACCGAGTGCATTATCAAGCAAGTTGCTGTTGTGGGAACTGGGGCGACCTGCTGCATGTAGATCCTGCCTCTGTTATCCCAGCTGAGGGGGAGGGAGCTGTGGTATTTCTGCACCACCTCGACTCATAAGAGGTTGAGGGCTGCTCCTGGGGCGGGGGGATCACTGACTCTCCACCTGTCCAGCCTGCTCTGCCCACTGGCAGGAGTGATGCTGGAAGGATAGGGGCGCAGCATCCTCATCTTTCACATGGAGGTAACAATAACTGTTCTCTTCCAGGGTGTTGTGAGGATTAAATGACACAATCCAGAAAAATTGTTATGTTACACATGTTAATAAATAAAACAGTATAGGAAATCCAAACAGGGTCAGGTTAGTGGTGTTTGTCGTAGGTCGTGTAGAACGGCCTCCCTCTCTCTGTGCTGCTGCTGTACTTGGGTTACACGTATTCCAAGACATAATTTCCTCATCCTTGTGGTAGCTGGATTGGGAGGGGAGATTGGAGGGGGGTGCTGGGGCCTCGGGCTGGGAGACTCCTGTTCCATGACAGCTCCCAACTACTTCACCCACTGTACAAATGTTACCATTTCTGCATGTGCCACAATGTGAAAAGGATGAGGAAGCAGCAGGCTAGGAAATGCAGCATTAGCTGTTAAAATGAAGAACCTCTCCTTAAAGGAGAGGGCATAGTACTATCAGATTGAATTTAATGCTGGTTGTGTGATCCACTGATGAAGTCATGGAAGCCGTCCAACTTTCGCTTATGTGTCCAATTTGCAGGTATGAAAATGAGTGTGAATGTCAGCTGCTGCTAAAAGAAATGCTTGAGCGGCTTAACAAGGTGAGCTGAGCCCATCCTTGGTCTATGCGTTGAACTGAGTGGCCGAAGCAGTTGTTTCCCATCTGTCCTCTTTGTGTTATTTTAGGTTTCACCCACTTCCTTTGCTGTCACTCTTTCTTTTTTTAATTTTAATTAATTTTTTTCATTTTACATGTTTATGGGGTACAGTGTGTTGTTTCAGTACATGCATATAATTTTATAATGATCAAATCAGTATAGTTAGCATATCTGCCACCTAAACATCGATCATTTCTTTATAGTTATAACATTAAAGATCTTTTCTGGCTATCTTGAAATATACAATACAATATTCTTTGCCATTGTCACCCTAGGGCACCAGAACTTATTCTTCCTATCTAACTGTCACTTTGCAACTTTGTACCAGTCTACCAGCCTTTCCCTGCCCCCCCCCCCCCCCCCCCCTCCACCTCCCTTTTCCTGCCTCTGGTAACCAGTATACAACTCTCTCTTTCTCTCTTTTTTCTCTTTTTATTTTTCTTAGTTGACCCATGATAATTGTATATATTTCTGGAGTAAAATATGATATTTGGGTTCATTCATACTGTGTGATGGATATCACCTCCAAAATTTGTCACTTCTTTGTGTTAGGAACATTCAACGTCGTCTTGACTAGCTATTCAGAGATACACAGTACTTTGTTGTCTGTGGTCTCCCTGTTATTATAGAACCCTAGATCCCTTTCTTCCCATCTCTCTACTATTTTGTATTCACGAGCACCTTCTCCCCATCCCTTCCCCCTCTCCCCCACCAGTCTCTTAGTAACCACTATTCTACACTCTTCTCCTATGAGATTAACTTTTTTAGCTTCCGTGTATTAAGTTAGAACATGTGGTTTTTCTCTCTCTGTGCCTGGCTTATTTCACATAACGTAGTTTTCTCCAGGCTCATCCATGTTGCTGCAAATGGCAGAGTTTTGTTCTTTTTCATGGCTGCGTGGTATTCCAATCTGTCACTCTTTCTTGACTTCTTAATTTCAACTGTGTCTTCGTGAGTGAACTCACACCCCCATACACAGTAGCCCTCTTCCACAAGGTAAAGGGTCTCACGATAGACACATACACCATGAAGCTTATCAGCTGTGCTAGGCTATCAAAATGTGCCAGCATACAATGTCCGAAGGCTGTTTTACCATTCAGACATACTGTTCCCAAACACCAAACTTGGGAAGGAACTTGCTTTGGGCAGTGGTTATTTGGATGCAGTGAAACCTCTATCCTGTTGGCTAAGAGTCTGGAAACTGCTGCTCCATAAGAAAACTCTGAAGGGAACAGAGTAAGAAATTTCTCTTTCCTCTCAAGCTCCCTCTTTTTGGAACATGAAAAGTAGCCACATGGGGGGTCACCAAGGATTCTTAGCTTCTTTCCTGCAGAGGTTTTGTGGAGCTCTTTGCAGGGGCAGTTTCCTTCTTCATGTCTTCCATCATCATCCTAACCGATTGGATTTTCTGCTGTAGCCAGGAGAACTCCACTACCAAAGAGCAGAATAATCCTGGACAACAAAGGTGGGACAAAGTGAAGGATGGTGAATGCTTTAAGCACTGTCCTTTTCTGATGATTTCAGAACTCAGATGTCAGAGCAGCAGGACCCATGGAGACTACTTAGTTGAGCAGTATAGCTTATTTAGGGCACATGGGCTGCCATCCTCCACCCCTTCCATGCCTGTAACCTCATCACAATTGCTGATAAAACACCAAACTTCCTTGCTGTGCGCAGATATGCCTTAGCATTCTTCATGTAGAACTCCAGACAACCACTTCAGTCAGGGTGAGCTCAGGAAGTTTGACATTCCCTGGCTTTGTCCAGCCTCTGTTGTCTAGAATTATTCTGCTAGTTGGTGGGAAAATCAGAACTAGAATTAAGGGAAACCAAATTTTGCTTTGTCCACGCTACCTGCCTTCGTGTACCTTCCCTTCTCTGGGTGAGCATACACGAGTGTGTTGTCCAAACCAGGACATGTGTGTGAAAGAGGGTGCTGTCAATAATGATGCAGGTCCATTGATGTAAACTGGGACTGTCTCAGGCCAACCGGGACGTGTGAGCACTCTGGATATGAACACAAAGAGGGCGGTGAGGATGTGCTCCAGGAGAGCCCTAAAGACACAAGCCTGTTGGAAGTCTGAGCTGGAAGTTGAGCCTTATTAGCATCCAACATAACCCAGCTGTCCTGATGACACCTGTGGCTCATTCCCATTCTTGTGTGTTTTGGCAATCCCAGGCTGCCAAACGGGGCCACCATCTTGTCCACAGACCACTGCCTTCAGGGTCATAGGTGCCCAACACTCTTCACTTAGGTACCAGTTCAGGCCCTCCCAAGCCCCCTTCTCAACATCAGCACGTGTTGCTTTGTGAGTGTTTGCCTTCACTGCAAGCAGGCCTTTCTCTGGACTCTCTTCTAAGGCTTTTACTCAGACGGTGCCATTGTGGACACTCAAAGAAGGGGGAAAAAAGAATGGGGCTTTTCTTTTTAACATTGGTGGAAAGTACAGTGGATTTAAAAACAAGCTTAAACCTTCTGTTGCTTTTCTCTTACTATAGAACCAATACATATTCTCAGTAGAAAAATAAGACAATATAGATATTGAAAAATAAGGAAAAGGTATTTCACTATTTTACCACTCAGAAAACAGCTGTATAACATCACGTATATTGCGACATAGAGTGTGGATGTTTGAAGTACCAGCCCTGCGAAAATGTTATGAAGATTCTGGGTAAAGATGCTACCAGGAACCTGGGTGAAGGCCAGCACAGGGAACTGGTCTGGCTGTACCCTGGATCCAGGGCAAGCCATGAGTGAGCTGTGTAGTCCAAAAAGGGAGTGTAGCCCGTTAACAGGACCCTCGCACTACTGCTGAGTATCTGTGAGGGTGTTGGTGGATTGCCTCATCTCTCTGAGCCTCAGTTTCCTCATCTGTGAAACAGGAGCAATAATAGTCCCCACCACCACAGGAGTAGAAGTCTGTCTATGTGCCTAGTGAGAATTCAGTGACATAATAGTGTATATGACTTGCCTGTTACACAGTCATGGTTATTATTACAGAGCACTTGATGTGACAGATGCCAGCTTACTCTTCTGCAAAGGGTGGGGTCCACAACCCTGGTGGCATGAGAGATGATTTTGGGTGGTGCATAGAGGAGCAATTATTTTATAGTTATAATTTATTTTTATGATTACCTTTTCTTTATAGCAGGTGACATAAAAAAGTTCCTTTTCAAATAAATATAAGTAAAAATGAGTCACTTTAAAGAAAAATGCAGAGTGAATAACATAGCACAGGTGGTACTCAGATATAGCAGAAGTCATGAACACAGCTTCAAATGCAGGAAGTTGGGGAGCTCCTTTCACTAGCTCGTGGGAGCCTTGGAACAGTCTTGCATGGAGTAGGTTTTACCCCCAGAAATGACTGAGTCCAACCCCTTCTCTTTGTCAGTGAGGAGACTTACCCTTGGTGAGGTTAAATGACTTCAGAGTCCCACAGCCCATCTGTGGCAGGTGTAGACAGGAGTGGGGTCTTGTGTCCAGGGCTCATTCTTTGCATCCTAGGAATATCTGAGAATCTGTGTCTCTCAAAGCCAGACACAAAGCCAGGGTGCTCTAGGTTAAAGATGGCCCCAGAGCCCTTGATGTTGGTGCCCTGTCCACATCCCCTAGGCCACCCCAGCTGTCACCCAGACACACTGAACACATTGGTGGCCTCCTCTGTCTCCCTGGCTGTGGGAACAGGCAGGCTCTGCATGAGGCACAGTCCAGAAGTGCTGGGTGTTAACATCCCAGCAGCAACCCTCAGCCACTGAGGAACAGGAGTGGGTGGATTAGTTCCCCAGCTGCCCCCTTTCATAGTGATAGTTCACAGTTGATTCCACACGATCCCTCAGAGGGTCCCCAACAAGACTGAGCCCCGTTGTCCACAATGATAACCTGCTCTTTATTGGCTTTTCCCTTCTCTGGGTCACTTCCCTCACCCCTACCCGTGCTTCCTGGGGCCACATTCCAACTAAATGACATGTACCCAACCTTTGCCTCTGGGTCTGCTTCTGGAGAACTCATACTAAGACAGCTCCTCAAAGAGTTGGCCAGGTGAACACTGGACCCTCTCGTCACGGTCCATGGAGGTCATCAGATGAGAAGAAAGGCTAAAATGGGAGAGAAGAATTCTTATCATGTTGGCTGGCCATGTCAGTGATTTTGGTTGATAAGTCTTTGCATGTCCGTTTGCATCAAATCCATAAGGTTTTGCCAGTCAACTCAGCTCAGGGCCCGCTTTCTTTGGTCTCACCTGTGGGATGGGTTCATCCCCGGGTGTGGCCGTGGGGACTCACTGAGCAGTCTTTGAGCCCTGCTCGGAAAGGATCACCATGTATGTGAAGGGACTGATGGCTGCTGCTTCACAGACCACCAGGCTTTCATGCTGCCCATGGGATTAACCCTCCCGAGCTTGCATCCGCACTTACACAGCCAGATAAGCTGAAGCAGGCCAGTCTTTGCTGTGTACAAAAATTCCTCACCATCTACTCCCATACTATGGCCACAGTCACCCAGATTTTCAGCCTTTTGGTGTAATAAGAATTCCAGATGACTTTTAAATATTTGGGTTTGACTAACCTCTAAAACTCCTTGCCACTAAATATATACATATGAGGTTATTGGTCCCCAATAATGCCTGAGTTTGCTTATCTTAAGGAAACTGTAAGGAACAGACTTTATGGTTTTCTTCTCTTTTTTCTTTAAAATACCCCGAATTTAAAAATGATATAGGTTTTAGTCAAATGCTTTCACTTTAAAACAATTTAAAAAAATATTTAAAGGCCGACATGTGCTTTTCCATGTAATTTGTGTGTATCTTAAACTCATCTGTGGAAAAGAGCAAGAGGCTAGGGAGCTTAGGGGTGAAAGGTGGGGCCGTGAAGCTTCCACCTTCAGGGCTGCACGTCTTCATGACCCCAAGAACTCCTCTGAGGCTGGCAATGAGCTTCAGAGGAGAGGACAGGAAACTGGGAAGAAAGGGTTTGGGAGGAGGCTGGGGGTGGAGAGGAAAGAAGGGTGGAGGCAGAATGCAGAGGGAAAGGGCAGAGTTGAAGAAGCGGGGCAGAGTTGAAGAAACGAGGCAGAGGAGAGAGAGGCTGGAAGCTGCAGGCAGGCAGAGCCCACCAACACCCTGTTCCAGGCTGGCCTTAGCACATGGGAGGAGAGCGACCTTACCATTTTTGGAAAGACTTTTGACATCCAGGGTTGAAGGGAAAGTGTTTTTAAATTAAATTCTAGCTAACTAGAAATCTTAATGAACTTGAATATCCATGCTTTAGCAGTTGGTTTATTGATGGAGTTTCTAGAATCCCTGTGAATAGGTTGGCAAGGCTGATTTTCAAGGGCACATTGATCTCTAATTATTTCTCCAGTCCCTTTCTCAAAAATGGCTGTAAAGAGTCTAGACCGGTGGTTCTGAAACTTCAGTGTGTGTCAGTGTCACCTGGAGGGCGTGTTAAAATCCAGTTCCCTGGGCCCCGAAATTCTGATCCAGCAGGTCAGGGATCTGCTGGAGTATTTGCATTTCTGATCAGTTCCCAGTGGTATAGTCTGGGGACCACACATTGAAAACCACCGTTCTAGATCTAGAACATACACAATATCAGGGTTGGCATGTTTTCTAAAATTAGATTGTTGATGCAGAGTCTCAATTCGGGAAAATCTAGATGCTTCTGCTGGTGAAGCTTTTGAAAACTCAGCTGACTGCATCCAAAGTATAATAATAAAAACACAAGCGTCTACACATTCTGAGTTCTGTTGCAAACAAAAGAAAACACTTCCAAAACAAATTCTCCTCTACATATCAGCAACTGCACATTCCAGTGGCACCTACTCACCTTTGGGAGTTTTTGGGGCAGTTTATCAGGCAATTGTCTTTAAAGCAAGACAATGTGCTTGCAGAAGCATTTAGTTAATCCCTATTTTAAGGTCAAATATTGACTGGCCTTTTATTATCACCACGAGCAGTTTTACAAACTTGACTGATGGGATCCGGGAGTGGTTGTTTCAGCATGATCCTAAGAGGCAGGTGGGGAAGAACGGCAGGATCCTCGCAGGGTGGGATCAAGACTCAGCACTCGACTCAGGACTAGTATAGAGAAGCCCAAGACAGATTCCAGTCCCATTATCTTCCATTAACTTCCATTAACTAGCTGATTGACCCACGGGAACAGTCTGGCCTGAGGCTCCTATCTGTAAAGGCAGACTCCAGTTTTTGAGCTGCGTTTAGCAGAGGCCTCAGGTCCATGGTGTCGCTTGAAGGGCTGTGAGGGCAGAAGGTTGCTGGCCGGATGGGGTGCCTGTGGCCTTGGTTAGATCCTCCAAGAAGAGCATCTCTACTTAGCTTCTACACATTGGCTCCTATGGGATACTTTGAAGGATGGCACCGGGAGCTTAAAAATAGTTTGGGGCCCAATGACCACTAGGGTCCCTTCTATTTCTAAACCTCTGAATGTTTGATCCCTTTATAAGTGGTAACACAAAGCGTCCTTGAAACCCTATTTCCGGTTCTTCAGCTCCAGTAATGTGGATCAATCGTGGATTGATGGTAAAAGTCACCATGACTGAGAATTCTCCCACCCCATGCTCAGCAGTCTTAAGAGGGGCAGAAGGAAGGTGGAAAAACATGGAGACTGGCCGGCTCGAGGTCTTTGCCCAACACACTTTCACCTCTGCCCAGATTTAGCCCGGATTTAGCCATGCCTCTCTGAGGGGCTGTCCCCATCCCAGGATTGAGAATCACTCCATATGAGCCACTGCTCCTGAAGGGAGCGGGGATACATCCCCCAAAACTTAAAATTTTCTTCTTATCATTGTGGTCCTGTGGTCAATCAAGATAATGGTCCATGACCGATGCTGGCCCATCACTCTCTCCAGAAGTGTGACTTTGAGGGGCAGATACAGAGATGAATTCATTTGGAGCTGGGTCACTCTAAGGACAGTTCATTAACTCCTGCTACTTAGATTCCTGGGATTGTCCTGATATCTGTTCTTCTTGAGGCCTGGCTGTTTTTCCTTTATATTCTTCAAATTACCCAGCATCTTTCTGGTTCCTCGGCCCTTTTGCATTGTTGGAAAGACCCAGGCTTCCTTTTCTCCACCTTTTCTCTCATGAGGGGGCCTCACCAGGCTCATGTGATAAGTCTAGGTAATGTTGAGAGCCAGGCACCAGGATCTCCAAGGGGCCTGTCTACTTTCCTGGGGCAGGAATGTCTTGATTTGCAGAAGTATATCAATAAAGGTCTGACTTCCTGGGGTGGGCAGCATGTGTCTTCTGAAAGAAGAAACACTACTGTTGAGTTTCCATTAAACTCTCCCTAACTGACCCTGGGATACAGGATTTGAGGACCCACCATTAAGCCCTCAGAATAGTAACCTGCTGAAGGCAGAGCTTGTTAAAGGTCAGTGACTAATGATTAATTAATCACATGAATGATCTCAGAAGCTAAATATCCATAGCTAGATTTCACATTAATTTAGTTCAGACAACTCAAAGCCATGGATCTGGAAAAATGTGTCCCTTTCTGTAATTTGGTTCATTCTTTACTTCTGATTTAAAACGAAAACCAAAAAACTTCAGACCATGTGTGGGTTTCTTAAAGGGAGTGATTTTCGTACAAGCTGTCACTTCTCCCAATGAGCAGCAGGGCTGGTGGCAGCAGGAACCAGCTCCAGGGCTGAGGAGTGAGAGGAACCTCAGATAAGCAGGCAGGAGAGGCTGGGGGCTGTGGGTGAGCCACTGACTCTGCATATTGCTGTCCTTCCTTGTCCATCTGAGAGTCCCTTCCCTGCTCACCCTGTGTTAGCATCCCTGGTGCCGAAAGAAGGGGTTTCAGAGACTTCAGAGGAAAGGATTTGGTAGCTGGAAATTAGAGCAGGGAAAGGCTGGGGGATTCACCCTGGACAGAAATCTGGATGAGCACTGAGGAAGAGTGAAATTTTCCATGGTGCCTAAAATGAATCCTGTGATGTTGTGCTGGCCAGGGAGGCCGCTAGCCCGTGTGGCTGTGGAGCACCTGGAACGTGGGCGCTTTGAACTGAGATGTGTTATGAGTCTAAAACACACACCAGGTTTCAAAGACCTCACCTGAAAAAAAGAATGTAAGATATCTTATTAGTAACTTTAAAAATATTGATTACATGATGAAATGATAATATTTGGGGAATATTGGGTGAACTAAAATTATTATTAAAATTAATTTCACCTGTTTTTACTTTATTTAATGTGGCTACTAGAAAATTAAAAATTATGAATGAGGCTTGGACAACGCTGTATTAAATTACTTACATAATTCTTAGTTGCATAAATATATGCAAAAAGCAATGCTTTAAGATACATTTCTAATGGTTGCGAATTGACTGATCTGATCTTGCCCAACTCTTAAGTTCTTTAAGATGAACTCTTAAGTTCTTTTGGGTAAATAAAGTAGCTTCAGAAGTTTGGTTTGGGTGAGGATTAGCCACTCCCCTACAATCTTGCTAGCTTCAGACCAGATTCACACAGAGAGATATTTATTAAATAAACATTTATTCTGATTCAGGCTCCAAAAGTTTATACAGCCTGCTCTGTAGGCTCTATGAAGTCCCAGCTTTCATGCAAAGTTTGTGCGGAAAGCTCACTCAAGGCAGATTATTATTATTATTATCAGCATCAGACAATCAGAAATCTGATGTCTGATACTGAACTACAAGAACAATTAAGGAATCAAGTGCCTTTCCCAATAATACAGCCCAAGGGCCTTGCTGGAACCTAAACCCTATTAGTGTAAGGGTGGGGAGTGTCCCCAGATATCTTGGCCAGTCCACATACCTTGTCTTAACTCTCTTCACCCATGTGTGGAGAATGTCTTTTAAATATTTTAGCCAAACTACGTATCTGCCTTTATTAATGACAGCCTATTGCTAATAATCATCATGCTTATTAACAAGTCATTAATAAGTCAGTAAAAATCCACTTGCCAAGGCCTCAGGCATTGGCAGGAATGCATGGCTCAGGTGTCTCCGAGGGTGGGGAGTCCTGATGAGCCCACGTAATGCTCACCTGTAATACTGCACTGAACACGCTGAAGCGTTTAAGTCAGTTCCAGACAGCACAGCACGTCTTATTAAGAGTGTGGACAGTTCTTTTATACTTATTTAGTTTATTCGAACAAGATCCATAAGATAAAAGTCAGTGAATTATCAGAAAGTTTGCTGAGAAAGTTCAACCTTCGGTGACACATGTGGTTTCCAACTTTAAAGGAACAAATGCTATTCACGGCAGCATCATTCTAAACAAGGCATTTTTGTGTCAAAGATACATCATCTTAAGGTAAATAGCAACAGGCCTTGGGAGAAAACTATTAAAATACAGGTTTCAGTATTAAGAGAAAACCCTTTCTCTGTTTTAGTCTTAGAAACTCAATGAACTGATGAGGAGGTATAGGACAGATACAGATGTTACTGAAATGTTAAGGTTACTTGATGTGTAAGTATACCTTAACTCTCGGATCTTTCTAGATCAAGGTTTCTCAATCCTGGCACTATTGACATTTTAGGCTAGACAGAGAATTCTTTGTTGTTAGTGGTCTGTCCTTTGTATTGCAGGATATTAAGCAGCCTCCCTGGCCTCTACGTCCTAGATTAGAAGCATCCCACCACTCAAGTGGTGACAATTCAAAATGTCTCCATGGGGGGCAAAGTGTCTCCTTGGGGGCAAAGTCACCCCCTGTTGAGAACTCCTATTCTGAACCAGTTCCAATGGTCTAGCCCAATGCCTTGCTAGAATGCAGAATCTCAAAAACCCTCCCAGACCTACTAAAAGAGAATCTGCATTTTAATAAGCCTCCAGGTGCTTACACACCTGGCCGCCCTCACACCTGTGTGCTGCAGTACATGCTTCCCTGGCTGTGTGGCTCTCTTTCTCATTGCAGGAAGCTGATGAGGCCTTGCTGCATAACCTGCGCCTGCAGCTCGAAGCCCAGTTTCTGCAGGACGATATCAGTGCGGCAAAGGACAGGTATAAAAAGGTAACCATGAGCCTTCTGAAGCCAGAAAACCCAGTTTGGGTTTGGTCAACAAGCCGAGGGCACTCGTGGCTGAAAACTGAGGCTGCTAGAGTGGGCTGCCTTTTGGGTGCATTTGCCCTTAACCCAAGTAGGGGCTGGGCTGGTCTCTGGATAGGACTTAATGAGCTAGATATATACAGAGGAGTAGGCAATGGTGGGGTGTTGGGGGCCATGGTGTTGGGAACTAGTATCTATATTGTACATTACCATTTACTAGGTGATTTTATATAGATCTGTCTTGATTAAGCTATAGTCAGTGAACTGTCTCAGCTCAGAAAATTCAGAAATGCAGAAAATGCAAAGAAGTATTGTTTTTTATTTAGCTCTCCAGTTAATTGAAGGAACACATTTATATAGGAGTTTCCTCTCCTATAGTGCTCTGGTCTCCCTCCACCCCCACCAGCCGCTCGCAGGCCTGACTTTGGGGGGCCTTGGTGTACTGGAAAAATCAAATCCTGTAGCTGTGTGACCATGGGAAGGTGGCCTAACCTTTCTGAGCTGTTCTTCATCTCAAAATGCAAATGCCAGACTCCCTAGTGCAGCTGTGTGGGCTAACTGTTAGCAGATCGGTGGGCGTCTGGCCCTGACCCTGACCCTCGGGGCTTACCTCTCCAGTGGGCTCTGCCTCCCTCCTCCCGTCAGTATCTGCAGCTCTTTGCCTGAGGACTTTCTCCAAGCTGTGTGGACAGGGATGTGTTGGGGAACCACTGCCCCTGGGGGCAGCCTCAACCAGTGACTGGTGGGAGTTGGTGTGTCAGCACCCCAGCTCCCTCTCACCTGTGTGGGGAGACACTGAGGCTTCCGCTCTGCACTGGCTCCCAGAGATCCCCACAGAGCTCCAGGTGCCCACAGTGGTGACTTATTGATACTCCTCCCCCCACATTGGCTGCCTTCCCTTCCCTGCCTCCCTTCCCTACTCCTCTAGTCATGATTCCTGGCATCATTGCCAAGATCAACTATCTGCACCTAGATCCTTCTCTCAGGATCTGCTTCTGGGGAAACCCAAACTAAGACAGTGTGGCCATGTAGGTACCACCTGGAGCTTGGAGTGCTCAGCAAACCTTCCAGTCTCTCCCTCCTCAGTGTGAACCTGCGTCAGAACAAGGGCCTGTCCTGTTGCTCTGCACTGAAGTGCCCGTTTTCCAGCCCATTTTCCTCCTCCCACCTACCTTCTTGCCTTTGCTTTACCTTTTGTAATCCTGGGAGTAGTGCCTGGGTCCATGGGAGCAGCTCAAAGTGTTCTTCAAGGCCGTGTAGAATAATAATGATGACAATAGGTCACACTGTGAAGCTTCATGCATTATCTCATTGGATCCCAGCAAGAGCCTTGTGAGACAGTGTCTCAGGTCGGGTTCCTATAGCAGAGCCCAGGTAGTGACTTTTTTTTTTTTTTTTTTGGTCTTTTGTCTTTTTCCGTGTCCGGCAACGGATTGCAACCCTCAGTGTTGCCCCCACACCGCACC